CCACCAGCCCCCCCCGCCTGCCCACCCACCCGCACGTTACCATCTGCTCCGTGAAGACGGGCATATCCGGGGGCGTCCCCTGCAGAGAGAGAAGAGCACGGGGCTGAGTCCAGACCTGCCAGCGGCCGGGCGGGCGGGGGGCCTGCAGGCGGGGTCTCACCTTCTCTGTCAGGTTGTAGATGACACGGGTCAGGGCCTCGGCGATCAGCCTCGTGTTTCGGGTCAGAGTTTTGGAGTCAACCCGGGACCTTCGAGGGCAAGTTTTAAAAACACACGTATCAGCAATTGGCAACGTTCATAATCGCCAAAAACCAAGAGCGAGCATATGCCTGATAATGATAACGACAAGCAGAGTGACGGCCCTCCCAGGAGACGGGCGCCCCCCACACTGCAGGCTCCTCTCTGGGACAGGCCCGCCCCCGACGAGGCCGCCCTGCACCCTGGGCGCACGGGCCGAGCCTGCGCCCTGTGGACACGCATCTGCCTCAGTGACTGGCGGCCCCGGGCCTATCTCCTCCTCTGGACCTTGGGGGAGGTCAGGACACCCACACCTCCATGGGCTGCTGAGGGTGGAGTTGCTGTAACGCCCTGTAGTGGGGGCAACAGTGTCCCCCAAATTCACGCCCACCCAGAATCTGGGAATGGGACCCGATTTGGAAGTAGGGTCTCCACAGACATCATTAGCTAAGATGTGATTGCACTGGAGTAGGGGGTCCTGAAGTCCCACGGCTGGTGTCCCTATAAGGAGGGGAATTTGGACACAGGCACAAGGGAGAGGCCACGTGACCACGGAGGCGGGGGCGGTGGCACGGCCACAAGCCCGGGGACACCAAGGGCTGCCAGCAACACAGGACTGTAGAAGAGGAGCCTCAGAGGCAACACATCCCGACCTGAGCGGGCGTGGGCGTGGCGCGGGGTGGGGGGCTGCCCGGGCAGGTACCCTGCCTCCCCTGCCCCAAGTCCTCCCTCCACCGAGCCACACCCTTCTCCTGGCTCGTGCCCCAGTTCTAGTGCCACCTCCTCCAGGAAGCCCGCCGGATGCCCCAGCCCAGGCCTGCTCCGACGGCGGTGCTCACCGCACGTCCATGATGCTGCTGCGCTGGCCATCACGGTGGCTCTCCAGATGGGACAGGGTGAAGGCAGGCAGCCGGCGGATGGCGAAGCGCTCATGCTCCCAGGCCAGGATGTCCTCCGCCAGGTTGATCTTCTTGTGCACCATAGAGAACCGCACTTCAGGGAACTGGTGGGCGGCCACCTGCAAGGGGCACTGTCAGGCTCTGCCCGGCGCCCGCGGGCCGCACCCCAGCCCCGCCTGTCTCTGTGGCGGTGGTCCCTCGCGTCCAGCGGGTCCCAAGTACCTCCCCGAACCTCCTGCTTCTGGAAGCCAGGGAGAAGCCCACCTGCCCCGCCCCCAGAAAACCCACCTGCGGCTCACCCGAGGCCCCAGGGTGCACAAAGCTCCCATGTCCCAGCCTGGCCTCCGGCGGGACACCTACCGTCTCGAGCTCCCGCAGGAAGGAGTGCTGTAGCGTCCCCTCCCTGGGCGGCTTGGACACATGCAGGTGCAGGCTGTCTCCCCGGCCCAGGGTGTCCAGGCAGAGGACAAAGGCCACGTTGTCCTGGAGCAGGCTGGAATCTGAGTGCAGTGAGGGCTGGTGGGTGGAGGTGGGGGGAGTACCGGCGGCCCAGACCCCACCCTGGCCGCTGGGGCCGCTCACCTGTGTGGTCCAGATTGTCTTCTAACCAGCGCTTGGTGCCCTGGTAGTTGAACTTTCCTCCTCCAGACGCAAAGAACAGGAGGTTGTACCTGGCGGGAGGCAGTGGGGCACCAGCGTTGACACGTGGGAGTCCAGGTCCCCGACAAGGAGGAAATGGCCCCCCCCCCCACTCAAGTATGAAATCCAACCAGCCTTCAGGGTTGGGCCTCCCTATCCTGGCACTGCTGACATCGGGGCGTCCTGGGTGCTGTAGGGTATGCAGCAGCATCCCTGGCCCCCGCCCAATGGATGCCAGGAGTCCCCGAGTCATGATGATCACAATGTCCTCAGACATGGCCCAGTGTCCCCCGGGGGCTTCAGGTGAGAAGCACAGCTCTGTTGCCCCTCTGGTGAGAAGCATGGCTTCAGGGGCCTCTCTGGACTCTCGAAACCAGGAGAGACTGGGTGGACCAACCGGGAAATAAAAAGTGGCAGGTGATTCAGCACCCCGTCCCTCGAGAAGGACTGAAGCCAGGGGTGTCGTGAAGGACCATGTCCCTGCGCCACCCCCCCAGCCCCATCCATCCCGCGGTGGCCATGGCGATCCTTATAGGAGAGGGGAGACACCTGGAAGAGGAGAAGGCCACGTAAAGCTGGGACCGAGGAATCCATCACTGCTGGAACCCAGGAGCAGCAGGAAGGACCCTCCCCTGGGGTTTCAGAAGGAGGCGCGGTCCTGCTGACACCCTGATCTCAACCTCCCCTCCCCACCCAGGACGTAAGCACCCCTGCCGCTCAGGGCGCCTGCATGTGTGGGGCCGGGCCCGGCAGCTCAGGGAGACTCGCTCGTCACTGGGCCCCTGCCGTCCCAGGGCAGCGTGGCATAGGGACGAGCGCCCATACCGGTGACCAGCTGTGCCCGGGGCTGCGACAGGGAGACGCCAGCCTGAGTGACCGGCTCGCAGGTATTTCTGCTTCTTGCCGTTGGAGCGTCCCCGGCTCTTCTGGGAGCGAGGGCAGCCCGACCTCCTGGGGAGGATTCCCGGGGGTGCACCCGGGAGGAGCTGGGCCCCACGACCTGACGCTGTGATTCCAGGGTCGGAAACGCCCTGCCCCTATCACTTACGCGGCGTGGGTACGCTTGTAGGTATAGAGCCTGGAGAAGAGACGGGTGAGCTCCAGCAGCACAGAGATGCCACTTCCATTGGAGTCCGCACCGTGCGACAGCCACTGCGGGTGTGCAGAGAGGAGGCCGAGGTCACCCCACGTCCACATGCGGCGCCTCGCACCCCCCCAACCCCCGTCCGCATCTCGCCCCCGGTCCACATCTCCAGTGCAGCTGGGCTCACTCACCCTGCGCAGCCCAAACCCGAGACCGACGGCCCCTGGGCGCTGCCCGGCCCCCACGCACGTGGGAAGCCCCGTGCGCAGCCTCCGTCCAGCCTGGGCATCTGCCCTGGGAGCTCCCTCCAGCTGGACCTCCGGCCTTCTGCCCGCCCCCGCTGTGAACACACCCCACCACCCCGCCCCGCGTCTGGGTCCCGCGCTCTAAGGCGACATTCCCCACGGGGAACTACTGGTTCTTGGAGAGGAAAAAACTGGGTTGTTTGCATGGCTTGGGACCCTCCCACAGTCACAGTGCACCAACTGACACACGACACCGTTCAAGTTCACAGGGAGGGGCCGACGGTGCTCAGTGAGGGAAGCCAGACACAGAAGGACACACAGGCTGTGACCCCACTGAGGGAAAACTTCCAGGACAGGCCGATCCACAGACACGGAGAGTGGGTTCCTGGCTGTCAGGGGCTGGGGGAGGGGTGGGGTGACTTCATAGGGACAGGGCTTCTTTTGGGGGACGGAACGCTCTGGAAGCAGAGAGCGGTGATGTCTACACAATTTTGTGAATATTCACTAAGAATCTCTGAATTGCGTGCTTTAAAATTGCGCGGATTTTATGTTACGGGAATCACATCTCAAAAATTTAAGAAAATTTCACAAGAAAGGGAAAAGGAGGACACAGGTGTCTAAAAAGGCTCCGTGGGGGTGGATGATGAAAAGGGTGAGAAAGTGGCTGTGAGCCGACTGTCCAGGGCCGGGCTCTGGGCCCCAGCATCCTCAAGGACAGCCTTGGCCTCCCAGGTGGGGCGGCCCGCAAGGCGCGGTCAGGGGCGCACGCCCGGCTGCAGGCCCTCCCAGCACCCACACTGTCCGGTTCAGCCAGCTGTTGGTTCTCCGGCAGGAACCTCCCACCCCAAAGTGCCGGGGGCTCTGAGGGCACAGCCCCGGGTGGCCTGCAGCCTGGAGGGATGCTGGCCAGGTTGGGGGCACCGGGAACCGGACTTCGGGGGCCCCCGCCCCGACACCGCGCAGACACGGGGTCCGCACAGGCACCTGCTCTCCTCCTGGGTCTGGGGTCTCGGCCGGGCCGGGCCGAGGTGCCTGCGTGGCCGGCCCCCAGAGAGAACCCCGGGCTGGGTCTCGTGGGCCTCCCCGGGGAGCGCCCCTCCCTCTGCTGTCACGTCTCATTTGGGGGAGTGAAGCTTCAGGATGACACTCGCCCCGCAGGGTGTTCACGGGGCCCTGAGGGCACGGACGTACCGGGGCCACCCCGAAGGCGTCGTAGTGGGCCACGATGACGATGGTGGGCAGGTCCTCTCCGCCCAGCCCGGTCAGCCGCCCCTGCAGAGACACAGGCATAAAGGGCCAGCCGGCTACACTGTGGCCACGGGGGGTGTGGCCACGGGAAACCACGCCCACCCTTCAAAGGCCGAGCCCTGCTGATGGCAGGCATGGCAAGACCCTGACGGCGCAGGAAGAGCTGGGGTGGGGGTGGGGGGGGTCGGGGTCCGGTGCCCTGGCTGGTCCTCCTGCGTAAACTGGCCCCCGGTCAAGTCCAGCAGGGAGCAGTCGGGAAAGTCATCCTGTCGGGAGCAGGGCCCACGGGGCCGAGCCGGGGGCAGCATGTGCTGAGGCCCCACGCCCCTTACTCTCTGGACAGAGGACAGTTCTGCGAGGCCTCAGCTGCGGCCTCCTCGTGGGGGTAGGGGAACAAAACCGCCGGAGGCTTTTTGGGGGGGTGGGCGGGTGCAGCGAAACAACCCCACGGGTGGCCCGTGGAGCTGACCCTGGTGGGGAGAATGCGAGGGGGAGGACTTGGACCTTGCTCTGGCCTGGATGCCTGCATACACCCACCCTCCCGATGGGAGATTAGGCTTCAATTGCTGCCCAGAGCTCCGCTCTCCGCCAGCTCGGCTGAGCTCCCGCGATATTACTGTTAGGGGAAGGGCCGGCCACTCGGGGAGGGGGCTCTCGGTGGGGCAGGGGTTGGGGGAGGAGGCAAGGCAGGGTGTGTGGCTAGAGGCCCATCTCTCCATAGGGCAGGCGGGCGGCCTGACCCGATTTCCCAGTCAGAGGCTCCCTCTAGTGGGGACGGGCAGTGAGGCACGCCGGGCACCCACCTCCACACTGGTGATGAGCCAGTCGCTCACGGCCTTGCTCTGGACCCCGCTAGTGACCATCTGGAAGCCGTTGGCGGTGGCGGTGTGCAGCAGCACTGAGGACAGGGGCGTGGAGGGTCGGCCTGAGCCAGGGGGCTGCCCTGCTGCGGCCCGGGGCTTCCCAGACCAGAGCCGGCACGCTCACCACCCCAGCACCCCAGACTCCAGGGGTTCAGTCTGAGCAAAAGCAGAACTGACCACACAGACTAGAACACAACGTGGTAACTGGACACGGGAAAGAAGCTGGGTGTCCAGTATAAGAGCCGGTGAAACAGTCACCCGGACACCACTGAGGCCGGTGAGGAGTGCGTGCGTGCCCTCGCCCTGCAGGACCGTCAGCGACCATTCCTAAATCACGAAGGCACGTGCACGACCTCTGACCCAGTTTCCCAAGGATCACTTCAGCAGTGACCCCAAAACAGGAGTTTCCCATCAGATGGCTCAGGACCCTCCAGCCCAGCCCCGAAAGCGAAGATGGCGTGAGAACTCAAAGTTTCATAAAAAGGAAAGTTCCATTTTGTCCTGAGCCGAGGTGAGGTGGTGCCCACCTCGCTCCATGTGAGCCAGTGGTCCACTGTGTCGCCACTTTTTCACCTGGGGGCAGCGGCTGCCCTAAAACGCCCATGAGCTCACCCTGTCTCAAGCCCTTCCGTTCTTTACACATTTAAAAACACAACAGTGGGAATTCCCTGGCGGTCCAGTGGGTAGGACTCCGTGCTTTCACTGCCGAGGGCCCAGGGTTCAATCCCTGGTCAGGGAAATAAGATCCTGCAAGTCGTGCGGTGCGGCCGAAAAACGACGACGACAATGACACAAACCACAATTGTGATGGCCACGGGAGGTGTCATCACTGGGGGAGCTGGGAGGGTGCCTCTCAGGAACCGTAATATGTCCGCAACTTCTTATAAACCCCAGCGTTATTCCAAAACAAACAAGCTACGCCTAAGAAACTGTTGTAATCCTGATCTATGATCTTATATTCTGTTTTTTCCACGATCAGTATAAAATAAGCACTTTCTCACACCCGATGCCATTTCTTAATGGCTGCGTAATATTCCACCAGGCAGCTGACTCCTCCTCCTCCCTTCCGCTCTAACTAGAAATTAAGATCTTTCCAAAAACTCACTCTTGTGCTGCCACAATGCGGACGGCCACTGTCCAGACTTTAATCCAGATGAGGGTTTGGCAAACTTTCGCTTTAAAGTGCTAGAGAGTCGAAATTTTCAGCTCTGTGGGCCAGTCTGTCACAGCCACTGAACTCTGCTACTGTAGTGTGAAAGCCCATAAGCCGTGTGAAACACTGGCTGTGTGCTGATTAAAACTTTATTTGCACAAACAGGAGGCCGAGGGCCACAGTCTGCCACCCCCCAGTCTAGCATCCACGCAGCTAATAATCTGGCCAGGAGGAATGACCCTTCCTTTACAGCTTAAACACATACCCACAAACTGTTTCCCCAAGGAGCTGGGCGAGTCCACTGTGTGGACAAACCTGCCTGCCTTGCCCACTCTCACCAGCTTCCTTTTCCTACACCAGCGATTGGATCCTTTTGGCTCAATTCTTTGACCACTTTTGCTAGCTCACCCTCCCCCGTGGCCCCCGGACCGGTCAAACAGCAGAGCTCCCGCTGCCAAGCTCACCGCAGCATCCCCCAGCCCGGGAGAGGGGGTCCTGGGAACAGCGGGGCCCCTCTCCGCACACCCCCCGCCCCGAGCCCACCTTCGGCGGCAGAGGCGGAGCCCTGAGAGGTGGACGCAGCCTGCGTCTGCTCGTAGATGGACAGCAGGGCGTCGTCCTCCACGGCGAAGTACACGGGCACGACGGTCTCCATGGCCAGCATCTCGGGCTCGATCTCCATGAATTGCTGCGGGAGAGACAAATGTTCAGGCGACTTCAGGCAGGGGGGCCCGGGGCTGCCCCTGGAGGGTGGGCACCGGGGAGTGGACTGGATGGAGCCGGAGCCGGTGGGGTGGGGCGGGCCTCACCCGAATGACGTCCTGCGGCACCGCAGCCATGGCCCGTGGCAGGATGATGACCACGGCACCGGCCGACTGGCGTAGGGCGCGCTGGTAGCGCTCATACGAGAAGTCCAGCAGCCGCATGAGCACACAGCGCCGGCTCAGCACATCCGCGTCGATGGTGCGCGCCTCCGTGTTAAGCACCGCGTTCCGCGTGCCTGCAGGGAGGGGTCCCTCAGCTGGCCACCCACCCACCGGAGCCGCACCCGGCCCAACCCCCGGCTCGCAGGGCCCTCCGAGAACTCAACGAAAACTAAGACCCTTCTCCTTGGACCAACCCCCCTACCCCCACATTCCTAAACCAGGGCTGGACCCACTGTCCCTGCTCTGGCACCCTCCCCCCGCCACTGCACCTCGGCCACAGTCATCCCTCAGAAAGTGACGTGGTCCCTGCCCACCCAGCCGCCCCGCGAAGATGTGCGGGCTGCCTGCCAGGCTGGTTGCTGTGCCCCCCACCCCATGTCCCTGCGGCAGCTCAGGGGCGGGTGCCCCCACCCCAGCCCACAGAGGCAGCCAGTAACCCCCCAAGCCACCCACCCGGAAGGCAGGACCGTCAGCAAGAGCCCCGGGATTGGAACCCAGTCGGTCCTGCTCCCCCAGCCCTCCTCCCCTAGGTTCCCCGTGGCTCCCGGGACGCAGGGCCCCACAGGTGCCTCACGCCCTGCCCAGGGTGTCAGGAGACCCGCAGCAGAGCCCAGCACCCACTCCAGGGTCTAGTCCCCAGCAGAGGGAGCCCCCAGGCTACAGGACTGCCCCCCACAGTTGCCAATGACCTGAGGAAAACCCAAACCCTGCCCTGGCTGACCCGATCAGTGGCCCCCGTCCCGCCCTCCCCAGACCAGGGCCCCCTCCCCTCACAGCTCTAACACGGCCTTGTCCATGCCCCCGGGGCCCTTGCTATCTACTCCCCTAACTAGCTTGGGGGTTCCAGGGGTAGGGACCTCGTTCACCACAGTGCAAACCCAGCATCGCCTGGCGACTCCCAGCCCAGCAGGCTCAGGACATGGAACAAACCAACGCCCGGTCTCCCCGAAGCCCCTCAGGAAGGGAAACACCAGGGTTTGTCCATCTTCTTCCAGTCAGGGCTGCATTGTTCCCCCTGGGCCATCCTGGGTGCTGCGGGGTGTAGAGCAGCCTCCCTGGCCCCGCCCCCTCGATGCCAGGAGCCCCCTAGTCAGGGTAACCACAGATGATGCTAGACATGGCCTGGTGTGCCCTGCGGGCAGGACCACCCGCGTTTCTCTCCTCTGGGAGCTCAAGAAAGGGCCAGAGAATCAGGGAGGGAGGGAGAGGCTGCTTCCGGCTTGGACCCCTCCCGGCTCACAAGCTTTCCCAGGTAGCTGACCCCTCCCCGCCTGAGCAGAAGTAGGCTACAGCCAGGACTGCAGAGCGCTTTTCTAAGGCCAGCAGGTCCCCTCAGACACAGAGCACTGCTGTCCTGAGAGCTTTACTGGAGAAAGGCGGCGAGAAGCTGCATGGACATTTCAGCGGAACGAGGAGGGGGCGCCAGCACCCACGGGTGCACGGCATGCGGCGGCGGGCCCTCGGGGCCATCCCTGGACTGATGGGGAAGGGGGGTCAGGCAGGCCCCCAGCTGCCAGGGCCACCAGCACTCAGCGGGATGCTGCCAGAAATCCAGATTCTGAGGTCCGATCACCCAGGTGACAAAGGCACACAGCGAGTCCAAAATGTCTCACAGGTCCCAGGCTGACCCAGGATGCACAAAGCAAGCAAACATACCCTACTGCACATGGGGGCCAGATAACGGCCCTTAGGGCCTCCAGCTGGAGACCCACACAGTGAGTGTCAAAATAACAATGCAGAGAAACAGGTCTGCTTCCCCCAGGGAGCCAGAGTGTGCTGCCTGGAGGTCAAAGCTGCCGGGCAAGGCGACACCTGTGTCCTCAGGGATGCACCAGGCCCAGACGGACTCAGGCTCAGGGCCAGGAGCGAGGTCCCCACCTCTGCTTCCCAAGAATGTGCCATCGGGAGAAGGGTTGCTTCCTACAGCTCATCCTGAGGGCTGGTCCGCGGGAGGGGCCCAGCAGAACACAGAAGGGACAGCGCCCCAGGTGGGAAAGGGCAGGGCTGTCTCAGGGGCGGGGTCTGTGACCAAGGAGCAAAGCTGGGCTGTGCGCCCCAGGCTGGGGGCTGTGTGCCTCTCCCCACCCCCCCCACCCCCCCCCCGGGGGCCTTTCCTCTGCTTTAGGGCAACGTGGGAGCCTGGGAGGGCCTAGCGGGGGAGGGCAGCAAAGACCTTCAGGGGCCCCTGAAGCTCTGGGAATGCCGGACAGGCCCCTCCCCCGTGTCCCACGTGTCCCAGCCGCAGCCTCCCAGGAGTCCGCCGTCTCCCAGAGTCGGCTCAGATGTCACCTGTCACCTCGGGGTGGGGACACAGAGGACCGCCTGTGGAGCCTACAGAGACCCGCTTCCCAGGGGATGGGAAGGAGGGGGTGAGAGCGGAACCAAGTGGACGCCAGCCCCCTAAGTGCCCCCAGAGGCTGAGCGCCCCAAGAGCAGAGACCGTCTTTGCTGGCATGAGGCTGAAGCCAGCGCGGCCTTGGTCACCCCTGCGTCTGGGCGGGCGCTGGACACCTGGACGGAAGTCGCTGGTTCCCACAATGGGACCAGACCTGGACAGAGGTCACAGACTTCTCTACCGAGGGCCCAGGGCCAGTCCTCTCTCCTTGCGGGTTGCACTGGTCCTTTGTAGCGCGAAGCCACCGACCAGCAAGGGGCGGAGAGCCCGTCCCCGTGCCCTGTGTGGGTGCCCACATCCCCACCTCCCAGGGCTGTTTCTGAGAGGACCAAGTGGGATGGGCGCAAGCGGCCCAGCCCAGAAAGGCCTGAGCCCATGGGGGGGGGGGGGGGGGGGTCACACCCCAGCTCAAAGAGCACACCCCTCCCTTTCCCGGCACCCTGCCCGCCTGTTTCTCAACAGGAGCGAACAGGAAGTTGGGAAAGGAGGCCCAGAGCAAGGGTTACACCAGGAGGCGGGAGCCGAGGGCGTGCGTGATGCTGGGGACCGCTGCAATCAGCAGTGACCCAGCAGACCAGCCCTCAGAGGCTCCGCAACCAGGGAGGAGCCGGAACTCCCTCTGCACCACCAGGCCTTCCCGGACTATCCCGCCAGTATCTCCCCAGGCAGCGGTGGGGACCTCACATCCCTGCCAATGGGGGACACTGCCTGGTGTGATCTGGGTGGAGGTGTAGACGTGTGAGCTGAGATGGGTGGGCGCCCTGCCAGGCCCCTCAGCTCACCCCCGAGCCCACTCGGCATCCGGGTTTCTCACCATGAGCAACAAAGATGGGGGCCGGAAAGGAGGGCATGTGGGGTGGGGGGAGGCACCGGGTCAGAAAAAAGAACGGGAAGGAATCCAGGGACAGGGGCGAAAATCTCAGGTAAAGGAAGGGAGCAGGGAAGGAGGGCAGGGAGAGAGGAGAGAAGGTTCCCGAGGACCTGCGAGAAAAATGATGCAGTCAGGGAGCGGGTCTGTGGCACCTGTCTGGGGCGAGGAGAGGGGGCCACACCTGCAAGCAGGCCAGTGCTGGGCAGGCGGTGGGGGAATCCGGGGCATCCAGGCTGCTGGATTACAGCTGTCCAAAGGTCCCGGAGTGGAGCTGGCTGTGCTGGGAGAGCTCCCGGCAAGGCTCCGAGTGCAGTGCGAGAGGGGACAGAGGAGTGACTGGGTGCGGGAAGGACTGGCGGGTTGACCTGGAGAGTTCTAGGATCCTGGACTGCAGGATCCTCCAGACCAGGACGGCAGCCGCTAGTCACACGTGGCTATTCAAGCTTATTACAATTAACCACCAAAGATGCTAAAGATCCCCTTCTTCCATTGCATGAGCCACATCTCAAAAGACCACCTGTGACAGCACCGGCTGAAACCCTCTCCCCAGGGGGATGTCAACAACGCATACAAACTGCACACTCGTTAGGGGCTCCTGGCCTTCCTCCCCACCGGTCGAGAGCCTGGGGTCTAGAGACCTCACTGTAACCCCAAGTTCTCCCCCTCAGCACTGCTGACAATCTGGCCCAGATCATTCTCTGGGAGAGGCCGTCCCAGGCGCTGTGGGGTGTGGCGCAGCACCCCTGGCTCTACCCCCTCGATGCCAGGCGCCCCCCAGTCATGACAACCCGAAGTCATCACTCAGCGACCCCTGGGTTGACGACCACTGCACTAAACAGAAACAACATAACTCTGGGGTGATGAGGAATCTGAGGGGAATCTTCCGACCCTGGGGCTCCCCAGAGGCCTGGCAGTGGCAGGGGATCCAGGGGCCTCAGGCTAGGCCTGATGTTCCAACAAGAGAGGCTAATCCAAAAAAACCAGAGCTCAGAGATGAGGGGACCAGGGGGACTGGGGAGGGCAGGCCTTGACTTGTGGGGGCCTAAGGCACCAGGCTGGAAGAGAAACCAGAGGCTGGAAGAGAAACCAGAGGCTGGAAGAGAAACCAGAGGCCAAAAGGTTCTGGAACACCAGATACAGCAAGGCTGGGGAAAGAGAGGGAAATTCAGAATGACTTGGGCACTGGGGTCAGAACTTTGACAGATGAGGGAGCGAGGCCGGGGAACAGGAGCTGGGCAGGATCCAGCCGCGGGGACCTGAAATCCTGGAAAGAAGGCGCCAGGGTGGGCCAGTGGTGTTCCAGGAAGCCGAGGGGTGGGTATGCACCTAAGCGGGGAGCAAGAAATAGGGTCCAAGGGATTTCAGGAGCCCAAAGGCAGGGGACTGAAGGATTAGCTAAGGAATTCTGAGGAACCTGGCTCATGAGTTGGGACCAGGGAGCAGAGCCTGGGGAGAGATGGGCCTTGACACGGAGCCAGGTTGGGGTCGGCGATCAGAGCTTCTTGAGCCCTAAAGGGGGTCAGAATGCAACACTGGACAAAACACACCGGGGTGCCAGGAGCTGTGCAAGGGTGGCCAGCTCGGCCTGGCAGAACCGCGCTCAGAGGCTCCACTCCAAGTGAAGCAGACCGAAGGTTGGGGCTCTGTTCCAGCTGGGAATCAGAGAGAGAGGACCCAGGACAAAAGGAGCAGGGACAGCTTGGCCTGAAGGTGGGAGGGAGCTCTGCGGTCTGGAGCATGTAGCCCTTGTCGGGGACGGGGCCGGGGTGCTGTGGCAGCCAGCGCGGCGGGTCCCTGGGGCAGAGAGAGCTGGGGGCCTAGCGTCGGTCCAGATATCCAGGCTCGGACTTGCCTGGAATTTGGGTAAGTGTCTGGCGGCCCAAGTGAGGTCTGCGGGCTGGACTCCTGCTGGACAGGTGGGACAGGCAGGTCCTGGGGCCCGGGGAGCAGAGACCGAACCGAGGGAGGGGGCATCCTGGCCAGCATAGGCCGGAGCCCCGGGGACGGGAGAGGCTGAGCGGAAGGTCAGGTGCGGGGAGGCAAAGCTGGGGGAGGTCAAGAGCCCACGGGGAAAGCCCGGCCCCGGGGGGAGGCCAGGGGCCCGGGTCCACGCACCGTAGGGCTGTCCCTGCAGGTCGTACTGCTGCATGCGGTACACGGTGAACTCGTGCGCCGCGTCAGCGGCGGGCAGCGGCGGCGCCACGAGCAGCAGCACGGCGGGCAGGAAGACGATGAAGCCGAGCGGCAGGCAGGACGCCTTCAGCATGTTCTCCAGCACCTCTCCTGCTTCCTCCAGCATCCTGGCCGGCGGCGGGGCCGCGCGAGGCGGCGGCGGGGACGGTTCGGCGGCAGCAGCAGTTCACGCGAACTCACCTAGGCATGAGTAGGTGCCGGGGTCCTGAGGGCGCCGCTCTGGGCAGCCCGCGCCCGCTCCGGGGCCTGCGGGCACCGCCGAGGGCCGCCCGCCCGCCGCGCTGCCTGCTGGGAGTTGTAGTCCGACCGGCGCGCGCGGAGCCACCTGGGAGTTGTAGGCCTATTCTGTTACGCCCCGAGAGAGGAAGCTGTGGTGGGCCGTTTGACTAAGGTTTCACATAAACCCCAAGTCAGAAAATACGGAGACTTAAAAAAAAAACTATAATCGGCGGAACTTACTGAGGCCCTGTCTTTGCTGTGGTAGAAGGTGGAGGGGGGAAGGGGGTTGTGCAGGACGTGACCTTGCGACCCGGAGGAAAGTTGGGAATAAGGAAGAGAGGGGCCGGCCTGATGCGCTAGGTCTCCTGGGAATTGTAGTCTCATTGAACAAGCACACGGGGTCATGGGAGCTGAAGTCTTCCTGGCAGAAGTTCGGAAAAAAATCACTTAAAACTCCCGAGAAATATAGATGTTAACACCATGAGGGCAAAGACTTGTGTCTGCTTTGTGCACTGATGTATTCCCCAGAGCTTAACACAAGGCCAGGCACACAGTGGGTGGTTTATATAATTTTTGGATAAAAGAATGAAAGAAGAATCAGGAAATCATGACAGAAGGCTCCTAAAGGGATGTCGCGATGGATTATGGGACTTGTAGTCTGCAGCTTGGTGTTGTGCCGGGGTTGGTGAAATATTTATACTTAGGCGTATTTATATTTGGGACATACTCAGTAAAAAAAATAATATTCGTTCATCAGAAATTCAAATTTTACTGGGTGCCTTAAATTTGTATTTTCTAATCTGGCCCCCCTGAGAACCCAATTCTCTCTGGGCCAGGGGCCTTAAGGGGCATCAGTAACTCACACCCCCTTGTACAGATGGGAAGACTGAGGCCAGAGGGTGCAGAGCACATGGCCCTGGCCCACAGGTTCTGATACCGTTGCCTAGGGAAGTGGGCCTCCCTTCTGTCTCAAGTGAAAGGTGGCAGTTGTGTTGATTAACAGCATGGGTTCAAGTCCCAGCTCCTCCACTTCCCAGCTGTGTGACCTTGGGCAAGTCGCTTCACCTCTCTGAGCCTCCATTTCCTCAGCTGCCAAGTATGATGACAAATAATCAAACCCTCTTTCCCGGCTCCCCAGGGGTGTGTGAGGATTCAATAAGATAATCCACGTGAATGCACTTAGAAAGGATGAGGCATACATGAAGCGCTCAGTAAGTGTTGGTATTATGAGAACGCACCAAGCTCGTGCAGCCTCAGAGCTGCTGCATCCACCGTTCCTGCAAAACACTCGCGGGCCCCCTCCCACTTTCTGCATGGCTAGTTCCTTACTGAAATGATGTTGGACATTTCTTAGTTTGACGTTTGTCACCCCCAGCAAATTGTGACCTTTCCGCAGGCAGGTACCAGGTTGTTTATAGCTGCAACCCCATTGCCCAGAACAGAGTCTGACACACAGTTGTTGAGTGAATGAATGAATGAGTCATGAAAACACCAACACACCAGCCCCTCCCTTCCAGCTGTGTCCCTTGCTTCCGGCCATCCCCAGGCAGGTCCTAGGCATGAGGAGTCAGGAGTGGCTTGGCAGGGCAGGGAAAAGACTGAGAAATTCTGGCCCACGTGGTCTTCATCAGCAAATGTTTATTACCTGCTTCTCCATCTACCCCCACTCTTCCAGGCCAGGCTATGAACAGGCAAGACACGCACACTCACCTAGAGACAAAGCAAGAAAGGGGCCTGAACCTGGCTCAGATAACGAGGCTTGGACTTTAGGGCTGCCCATTCCGCCTCCTCTCCTGAGCCTTGGTTTTTCTGTCTGTAAAATGGGGAGGTTCAACTAATCCTGCTTTGTGGAGATGAAACCTTGGGGCAGCCCAAAGAATGAAATGGAACATTCATTCTGAGTTTTCCAAAGGAGAGAAGGAACTGGTATTCATTCTTTCATTCATTCATTCATTCATTTATCCATTCATTCATCAAAGAGGCAGTAACGGACAGGGATCCAGAAGTCACCTGTGGGGACTTCCCTGGCGGTTCAGGGGTTAATACTCCACGCTTCCACTGCAGGGGGCGTGGGTTTGATCCCTGGTCAGGGAACTAAGATCCCGGGGTGGGGGTGAGGGGGGAAGTCACCTGTCTGGGTTTGAATCCCAGCTCTGCCTCTTCCCAGTTGTGTGACCTTGCGTAAGCTACCTAACCTCTCTGGGTCTTGGTTTCTCCATCTATAAAATGGAGTTATGATGGTACCTGCTTCCTGGAGATTTTCCAAGGATTAAATGAGTTAGTACAAAGGTGACTAGGATAACGTTGAGTGATACATAAGGCATTTTAAAATTTTGCCAGGGGGCTTCCCTGGTGGCGCAGCAGTTGAGGGTCCGCCTGCTGATGCAGGGGACACGGGTTCGAGCCCCGGTCTGGGAAGATCCCAGATGCCGCGGAGCAGCTGGGCCCATGAGCCATAGCCAGTGAGCCTGCGCGTCCAGAGCCTGTGCTCCACAACGGGAGAGGCCACAACGGTGAAAGGCCCGCATGGCAAAACTAAAAAAAAAAAAAAAAAAAAAAAAAATGTTGTCAAACGCAAGCTCCTGTGCCCAATGCACAGTGAGGACAAACAAACCAAAAGTTGGAGTTTGGAGCAGAGAAAGGTTTATTGCAGGGCCATGCAAGGAGACCAGTGTCTCATTCCCCATAAACCCCGATTCCCCAAAGGGTTTCAGCAAAGCAGTTTGTTTTTTTTTTGCCGTATGTGGGCCTCTCACTGCTGCGGCCTCTCCCATTGTGGAGCACAGGCTCCAGACGAGCAGGCTCAACGGCCATGGCTCACGGGCCCAGCCGCTCCACGGCATGTGGGATCCCCCCAGACCGGGGCACGAACCCGTATCCCCTGCATCGGCAGGCGGACTCTCAACCACTGCGCCACCAGGGAAGCCCCTCAGCAAAGCACTTTTAAAGGCAAGTGAGAGAGGGAGGTGGTTAGTTGCTGCAAACTTCTTGGTGTTGGAATCCTTTGTTATTGCAGCTGTGCAGGTCAGGTCAGGATGTTCCTGTAAACCTCCAACAAAACAAATGTTATTCCCTATTCTGAAACATTTTACCTCTACTTGAATGGACTCTTAAATGTCAGAGCCTTGAGAATAGGCTCACCTGTATATTTCAGGCTATAGGCAACATTCTTGTACAAAAGGTACAAAGCCACCATGACTAAGCACAGGCAACAGGGCAGAAAGGTTAAAGTAAAAGGAACAGGTCTATAAAGGAGTCAGGGGCTTCCCCGGTGGTGCAGTGGTTGAGTGTCCACCTGCCGATGCAGGGGACACGGGTTCGTGCACCCGGTCTGGGAAGATCCCTCATGCCGCGGAGTGGCTGGGCCCGTGAGCCATGGCCGCTGAGCCTGCGCGTCCGAAGCCTGTGCTCCGCAACGGGAGAGGCCACAACAGTGAGAGGCCCGCGTACCGGAAAAAAAAAAAAAAAAAAAGGAGTCAGATTTGTTCTTCCCTATTACAAAATCAGACACATAAGTTTGAGGGCCTATATATTCCTTGTCTTAACAACATCCCAGGAGGGCAGGGGATATCAATATCCTCGTTTTACAGATGAGGAAACTGAAGCCCATGGTGAGCGGCAGAGCTGGGGAACGGTGATGGGTTACAGACATCTGAGCCACTTAAGAGCAGAAGTCAGGATTCACGGGAACAGTTTCATCGTAGTCAGGGAGGAAGGTGGGGGTGGAGAGTAAGGAGGGGAAGAAGTTTCCCAGGCTCATGATGCTAGGACTAGTTCTCCCAACACTCTAGGTCATGGAGCACCTACTATCTGCTGGGTCCGGTGCTGGGTGCTAGGGACATAGCTGTGGCCCAAACACTGTCACTACCTCCACTCTCATGGAGCTCCAAGTCCAGGGGAGAAGGTGGATGTGTAACCAGGCGTGATCAGATATATGATGGAGTTGCACTGGCAGGTGCGGGAGCCCGGAAGAGGGCTGAGGAGGAGAAATCAGGGAGACTTCCTGGAGGAGGTGATGCTAAAGCTGAGACCTGAAGGATGGGCAGGGCACGTGCCAGGCAGGCCACTCTACTGGGGACAACAAGACCCCAGATGGGAGGGAGCAGCAAATAGTGCAGCTCAGTCAAAGCAAAGTGTGACACCCCACAGGGCAGAGGGGGCCACAGGGCCAGCTCACACAGGCCCAGGACGCAGGCTGAGAGCTTCAAGGAGGCCCAGGCTGCACTCACACCAAATTCCACCGAGACCTCACCCTGCCTGCCACTGTCCCGAATAAACACACGTGGACCAGGAATCAGGAAAATGTAAGAAGTATCCCAGCCTATACATGCTTGGAACGTTTTCCAGTTCCGTCCAACAGAACTTTCTGTGATGATGGACATGCTCTGTGTCTACACTGTCCAAAACAGTAGCCACAAGTCTCATGTCCCATCAAGCACTTGAAGTGTGGCTAGTGTGACCAAGTGTTATGGGCTGAATTGTGTCTCCAAAATTCACATCTTGAAATCCTAACCCCCAGGACCTCAGGATAGGACCTTATTAGGAAATAGGATGGTTATAGGTATAATTAGTTAAGCTGAGTCACACTGGAATACATTGGCCCTAATCCAATAGGACTGGTGTCCTTATAAAAAGGGAAATTTTGCACACAGATGTGCACACAGGGAGAACCCATGTGAAAATGGAGTCTACAAACCAAGGGATGCCAAAGATTGCCAGCAAACCCCCAGAATCTAGGAGAGAGGGCTCAGAACGAACAAAACCTGTTGGCACCTTGATCTCAGACTTCCAGCCTCCAGAACCATGAGAGGATACATTTCTTTTCTCTTTTCTTTTTTTTTTGACCACACCGCTCAGCATGCAGTATCTTAGTTCCCCAACCAGGGATCCAACTTGTGCCCCCTGCAGTGGAAGCGCGGAGTCCTAACCACTGGACCACCAAGGAAGTCATGAAAGAATGCATTCCTGTTGTTTAAGCCCCTCGGTCTGTGATACTTTGATACGGCAGCTCTGAGAAATGCACCAAGAAACTGAATTTTAAATTTTCATTTTAATTAATTTTACATACCCACGTGTGGCTAATGGCTGCTTTATTGAAACAGCACAGTAAACAGTTTCCCATCGCCGCATCCCCCATCCTGCAGGGGAGAAACGGAGGCTCAGAACGGAGCTATCCCATCCAGAGTGGCAGATGGGATGCTGACCCAAGAACTTGGCAAGACGGAGGCAGAAAGACCTGCGGACACTCTCTTGGCTAGGAAGATGGAAAGAGAGCACTTTCTACCAGCCAAAGGTGGCTACATCCG